GTGTGTGTGTGTGTGTGTGTGTGTGTGTGTGTGTGTGTGTCATCATGCAAATGTGGTCCTGGAGGCACCTACTTTTGTAAGTTCTTTTAGCACATATTTACGTCTGGGAGATTTTGTGATAAAGCAACATCTGCAAGATAGTAATGGAACTTTATAGCTATGTAGTTGAGACTAAAATGAAGACTGAAGTTTAAAGATGGCTGTGGTCAGAGATATTCTGTAATTTATTTCACATGAGGTAAACTGATATATTCCAAGTGAAATATTTAAAGACTTTGTTTATTTTATTTTAGTTTGTTTACTTGTTTATTTATTCCTGCAGATAAATAAAAAAGGATTTACAATGTCCACAATCTGAAAAGTATACTCAAGTATACTTTGTATACTCAACACTTTGTGTTGGGGCTCATTTAGTGTGAATTATGACGATCAGGTTGTGGCACTGCTGAGGTGTTATTGAAGCCTGGGTTGCTTTGATGGTAGCCTTCATCTCTATTTTTGCGTCTTTCTCGTTTTCCTCTTGACAAATCGGGTCAGGCAAGGTGGTTATCCCACCAAACGCAGTAATAGCATGGTCAGCAAACCATTTAGTACTAGTTTTGGCACTGTTGACAGGTGCTCAGCCCTGCTGGTAGAGGAAATCGCCAACTCTATAAAGTTTGGCAACAATTCAGAGCACGAAGCACTCTAAAATCTCCTGGTAGATGGCTGTGTTCACTTTGGACTTGATAAAACACAGAGGATCGGCCACCACCAACACCAGCAGATGACATGGTGCCCCAAATCATCACAGAAACTTCACACTGGACTTCAAACACCTAGCCTTTCCACTCTTCCTCCAGAGTCCAGGACCTTGATTTCCAAATGAAATGCTAAATTTACTTTCATCTGAACAACAGTCCAGTTCTTTTTCTCCTTAGCCAACCTAAGACGCTTCTGAAGTTGCCTCTGGTTCAGAAGTGGCTCAATATCAGACATATTCGACAGCTTTATCCCCCGCTTTTTTTGCGTCTTGGCTCTAGATGCACTCCCACCACCTCAGTCCAGCAGTCCTTATAATTGTGGTTGCATGCACTAAACTAGTTAGAGAAATGCACATATTTGTAATGTTTAAAATAGTAATTTACTCAAACTTATAATTAAATAAGTTAATAATTACAGATTGTATAAAACAAATCTAATATCTGTATTAACTAAAGGGCTCTAAAGATCTAGAAAAACTGTTTGGGATCACTGGGTACTATTCTAAAATCAGAGTACCGGTATACAGTGTAATGAGTTAATGATGATGCAGATAGAATATTTATTTCATCTAATCCTGTTGACTGACTGGCAGCGTTTCCGTTTTGAAAGTCTTAAGTTGCTTTGAAAATACACTCAAGTAGGCAATGTTATATTCTGCTGAATTTCCCTTCATATAAGCAGTGAGGACTGCTGATTTGGCATAAGAAAAGTGGAATCCTCTGATGTATTTGTGTGTATGTGTATATTAGAGGATAGGAAAGAGTTCTGTACCGTTTGTTGAATATATGCAGTATCTGAAAGAACCACCTGCCAAGCACCAAATGCTGTCTTTGGCATCTAAAACCTCAAACACTGGCTGAAATTGTATGATTCAAAATAACTCTGTTACATTAAGATTTGGGTGAGTTTTTTTGCTTGCTAATTACTCTACACTTTGTCCATCAGCCAATTAAATCAAAGCTAAACAATGGCTCCATCTCAGTCTTTTCAATGGCCAACTTAATGCTCCTGTTATATAAAGTAGGCTTATTTCATTTTGTGAAGACAGGGTGATAATGATGAAATTGACCCAATGATTATTACAGTGATCCATAGACACACTCGCACATGCAAAACACCTGATTCTATTCATGCATTATTACATGTTTCTTAGAATAACGAATGTTAATTGCTTTGCCTGGTGAAAATGACTCTAACTTCTTATTAGTTTAAAAGCTTTTGGTAAGTGAGGCGAAAACCTAATTTCAGGAAACGTGTGTGGCTGCGTTCTCGTGCCTCATTGCAGTGTACGTCTTCTCAAGGCTGTCGTTTCAATAGAAAGTTCAGGTTACGTGACAACGCTGCCAATTTCTTATGTAGAAAGACCGAGGACAGCAGTAAAAATTGGATTACGTCTGAGCCAAAATTTATTTAACAGCTCAATCAAGTCAAACCAATAGAGCTCCACTGCCATCCAGAATGCTAAAGCAGAGGCGTTTGAAGCACACGACTAAGCTTTAGGGTATTTGTGGACAGATCAAGGCTGGAGGTCCAAGGTAAAGACCTTCCCGTTTTGAAGCATCATTTGTACAGCACACACTGGCCAGAATATTGCGATTGTATTCACTTTAACCACACGCTAGTTTTGGAAGCAAGGTGGGTTTGGGAACGAGGCAGTATTCCCTTCAAATGAGCTGGAGAGTTAGCTGGGGTGGAGAAAAATCTGGTGTTCTCTGCTTAGATTATTCTCCTGAATAAACAGCGAATATTCATTTTAACATCAAAAACAAACATGACAATAAAAGATTTCTTAAAGGAGGCATCAGTCACACCAAGTGCGTTTACATGAACATAGGTATAATGTTAGGTGCTTCTGTAGAACGTCCATCTCCCACAGCCAGTACTTTTCCTACATACAGTACATACTGTATCCACTAGCGTTCAGCACTTCAAGAGAAACATCCTTTCGTGTGCCATCGAAGGGGCATATGAAAGGAATGAACCGCCATATGCAACCACAGCAGATGAGGCAGAAGGCCGGAGCTGGAAAGTGAGGTTACATCCAGTGGAGGTGGGCTGCACGGGCTTCTTAACCATCGAAGGCCACTGAATGAGGTGGGTAACAGAGGGCTTAGATGGTTGGTCAAAGAGCTTTCCGATGTTGATGGAAAAAGCAGCTACTATGGAAGGAGCCGAAGGCGGTGGTGTCGGCATCCAAATGACCAGTGGGCACAAAGCAACATACCGTCCAGTCGGATCAGACTGATCCGACTGCCTCGGCGGCGTACATAACTGGTGTGCTGCAATGGTGGAAACATCACCATATGATAAGCAGCAAACTCACCCCACCTAGAAGGCTTCTCTAACCCACTCAGGGCAAGTGCTGCGTTTCACTGACAAGGATTGTAACATCTAGTCCTATGAATAAATTAAAGTGAGCAGAGAAGAAAATGAAGCTGAAAAGAGACATGTTTTCAGCATCTGAATCATGCTTTTTTTGAGATACTGACTAAACTTAAGGAAGCTTCTCAGATGACTGATTTTGGTCTTGTTTGTCTGACATCAGACATAACAGGCATTGCAGTGGGTGTTTCATCCAAAAATAGCCCGGAGTTAAAGGCCTTGAAGACTTTCTTACTTTCTTATCAACACTATTTACTGACAAAGTCAGAACACTTTCATTTATTTTAAATGAGAGAGATTTACTGAATGAGTCAGATTCTGAGGCCAGCTGTGGGTGTGTGTTTTTTTCATGTTACTAAACAACTGTCCATCAAATATGCTCAAGCTATATCCACCGAGGGCTAATGAAACTGAGAAACACTGATTTTTAGTGTAAAAGTGTCAAATAAAAAAAACAAACACCTTTTTTTCCTCTTAAA